GGTCAACATCGTTTTCCTCCAAAACGTGATCCAGGCCAACTTCTCCGCCGTACATTCCGCCCACGGAGCCGTTCACCATGCCAGCCTTCGACCCGTACCATTACCACGAGGCTTCCACCGCTGCTCCTCTCATGATGGACAACGCTGGCCAGGCTGCTGCGTACACGCAAATGCCGTCTATGATGTCTCCTGCGCCAATGACGATGCCGCCAATGCCGATGCACGTCTCGACTTCGATGCCTGGCATGAACATGAGCCACTTCGATGGCATTCACCCGATGGACTTCGCGCCTATGCCAATGCCAGGCAATGAGACCGAGATCTACACCGCGTACACCGGCAACAACGTCACTTTGATCAACATGTTCAACAACGGGTCCTACATGGGCGAAGGAGCCGACCCGGCTGTCACTCCGGAAGATGCTTCCGCCATGAACTTGCAGTACGTCGACGCCATCTACGATGCTCCGATGCCGGCAGTGGACCACGAAGCCCTCGAGGCTATTGAGGCCCAGATGGCGTACAACGGTGACAGCTACGTCCCAGCTGAAATTGGCGATGGGTTCGACTGCTCCACGCTGCCGGCAACCGTGTTCTCCACGCAGGTGACTCATCCAATTGACGGATCTTCCTATACCTCCCAGCTCGACCTTTCCGAGGACTGCAAGTACATGCAGAAGAAGCAGAAGGAGTTGCGCGAGATTGAATCCTTCATCCTCATGCTCGCGGACATGAAGGCCACTCAGGAGGCCAACACGGCATTGGGATATCGCATGTTAAGGCTAGAGATACAACTAGCTCATCTTCATGTTGTAGATGCTCCTAGAGATACTGTAATTCATCTTCTTCATGTTGTAGATGTGAAGTTTTTTCTCAGATACAGACTCCTTCTTCTTGAATGATACAGGGTAGTTCCTGTCGTGAGAATTATAGATACGAGCTTAGAAATCAGACGAAGTAGAATTTAGCTCGCCTCTTCTAAGCATACGTCGTCGTCTCTCTCGAGGTGAGAAGCTGCCGACCTACGTGCGCAAGTTGGCTAAGATCCCGCAGGCCTGGGAGGTCGAAGACTACCGCCGTCACCTGATGGCCAGCGGTGACGAGAAGAAGCGCCAGCTGGCGATTGAGGGTGCCTTTACTTCAAAATCTATTTTATTTTTTAGAAAACAGACTTATAGAGAAAGCCGTGCAACAATTTCTGAAAAAGTGAAAATCTAAAAATCTTCTACAACTTCCTAAAAAAAAACGAACTCTAAAAATCTAAAAAAATAACGAACTCTACAACTTCCCTCTACCATCCAAAGCATAAAACTCCCTAACAACCCCAACATCACAGCCTCTCGTTCCCTGATGTTCGAGTCTGAGATCATCGATATGATGACCGGCGACATGAACTACACGTCTACCATGACCGGTGGGTCTACCATGCCGCCGATTGACTACGCCTCCATCAACATGGACTCCACCATGAACATGCCGACTGCTGAAGAAATGCAATCCATGGAGAGCATGCACAACATTTCTGGTATGGTCACCGCGTTGGAGGGACAGATGGATGAGCGGTATTATTCTTGGGATTATTTAGGAGGTTTCTTCTTGGTTAATACCTGGATTTCGGTTTCTTGGTTCTTGAATTGGAAGTAGAAGTGAGAAGAGATAATTGCTGATTGTAGTAATCTTTCCACATTAAATTGAATCTTTTGAGCAAGTTCGTTTCTTCCAAATCCGATCGACCTTGTTGGATATGACACTTCCAAATTCCTAAACAGTTTCGTCGAGGAGATCCGCAAGTCCATTGAGCACGCTAAGGAGACCGCCTATGACGTCTACATGCGTATGCGTTCCGACCCAGCGTACCTGCAGATGATCATCAACATTGGTGCCTCGCAGGCCGACAAGATCCAGATGATGAAGCGCGTGACCAAGCTGTACCAGATGGCCAACCCGAACGAGCCGGACTGGTACAACGAGCAGTATGACGGCGACAAGTGCTTGGACCTGTACACGCGTCACTTGGGCTGCGCTGACTTGCGCTACCTCTCCTACAACGAATCCATGTACGACTACGACATGTACATGAACATGGGCGATCCAGCCTTGGAATCCGGAGATCCCAAGTACGAGCCGCCAATCATCGACTCGCCGGATCGTCCGCACGCTAAGTGCCAGGTCGTTGCGGACAACCTGCGACGCAAGTTCGGTGGAGATGGTATACATTTACTGTTTAATATGATTCATGTTTTCTTTAAGGTATACAATCTTTAAGGTATACAAAAAAAAAAACACAACACAAAAAAATGGAAGACGCGCAAATATCGGGTCGTTTGAAAATCGGCGCGTTTGAAAATCGGCGCGTTTGAAAAGAGGGGGGGTTTGAATTGCCGCGTTACCAAGGAGGGGAAGGAGATGGCCGGGTCTTGCGAGAGAGGGCCGCGCCTTGCAAGTGCGCGCCGCGTCTTGCGAGTGCGCGCCGTAGGTAGGGCGCGGCCTTGTCTTGGCGAGCCGCGTCTTGCGAGTTCGAGGCGCGTCCTGCGGGTGCGGGTCGCGTCTTGCGTGTGCGGGCTGCGTCTTGCGAGTGCGAGCCGCGTCGCGCGAGTGCGAGCGCGGGCCGCGTCTTGCGCGTCACGCCTTGCGAATGTGGGCGGGTCGTGTCTTGCGAGTGCGAGCCGCGTCCTGTGAGTGCGAGCCGCGTCCTGCGAGTGCGAGCCGTGTCGTGCGGGTATGAGTCGCGTCGTGCGAGTGCGAGCCGCGTCGTGCGAGTGCGGGCCGCGTCTTGCGAGTGCGAGCGCGAGTGCGACTCGCGCCTTGCGAGTGCGAGCCGCGCCTTGCAAGTGCGGGCCGCGTCTTGCGAAGGCGGTCGGGCCCGCGTCTTGCGAGTCGGGTCATGTGAGTGCGGGCCGCGTCGTGCGAGCGGAAGGCTGGGCCGCGGCGTCCTGTGGGTGCGACTGCGACTGCGAGAGCGGGCCGTGCCGTGCGAGGGTGAGCCGCGTGCGTCTTCTCTTGCGAGTGTGGGCCGCGGGCGTCGTGTGAGTGCGCGGCGTGTCTTGCGAGTGCGAGCCGCGTCTTGTGAGTCAGTCGCGTGCTGCAGGTGCGGGTCGTGTGGTGCGAGTGCGAGCGCGAGTCATGTGCTGCGAGTCGCGTCTTGCGAGGGCGAGCCGCGTCTTGCGAGGGCGGGCCGTGTCTTGTGAGTGCGGGCCGCGTCTTGTGAGTGCGAGCCGCATCTTGTGAGTGTGATGCGCGTGCTGCAAGTGCGAGCCGCGTCTTGCGAGCGCGAGTCGCGTCTTGCGAGTGCGAGCGCGTCTCGCGAGTGTGAGTGCGAGTCGCGTCTTGCGAGTGCGAGCGCGAGTCGCGTCCTGCGAGTGTGAGTCGCGTCCTGCGAGTGTGAGTCGCGTCCTGCGGTCTTGCGAGTGCGAGCCGCGTCTTGCGAGTGTGAGTCGTGTCTTGTGAGTGCGAGTCGCGTCCTGCGAGTCGCGTCTTGCGAGTGCGAGCCGCGTCTTGCGAGTGCGAGTCGCGTCCTGCGAGTGCGAGTCGCGTCCTGCGAGTGCGAGTCGCGTCCTGCGAGTGCGAGCCGCGTCTTGTGAGTGTGAGTCGCGCCTTGCGAGTGCGAGTCGCGTCTTGCGAGTGCGAGTGCGAGCCGCGTCTTGCGAGTGCGAGTCGCGTCTTGCGAGTGCGAGCCGCGTCTTGCGAGTGCGAGTCGCGTCCTGCGAGTGCGAGTCGCGTCTTGCGAGTGCGAGCCGCGTCTTGCGAGCCGCGTCCTGCGAGTGCGAGTCGCGTCTTGCGAGTGCGAGCCGCGTCTTGCGAGTGCGAGCCGCGTCTTGCGAGTGCGAGTCGCGTCTTGCGAGTGCGAGCCGTGTCCTGCGAGTGCGGGCCGCGTCTTGCGAGTCAGTGCGAGTCGTGTCCTGCGAGTGCGAGTCGCGTCCTGCGAGTGCGAGTCGCGTC